TGTCTCTTAACCTTCGAGAATTGCCGTTCAGAGAATCATTTCTCTTGGTAATTCTGTATTATTGTTCTAAAATAAAGTTCTTCATGAGCTCTTTCAACCTTATATCTCTATTATGCTAAGCTCATTTGAGCAAATATCTATCTTGGTTTTGTGATCTCCAGCATGGTATCAGAACCTGGTTAGCAAATTTTATCATGCTAACCTGGCTCTGATACCATGTGAGAAATCACAAAATAAGACTTGTTCATAAGAGCTATTATCACACTAAATAGAAATAGTTATAGAAATCGCTCAAAGTTTTTCCTTTAAAAGTAAAGAACATTAATTTGCATTTTGTCTTGACACAAATTCACTATAAGCACATACTCAGAATTGGAACTGTACTTTTTTTTTTTTTTGTTAGATTACAAAATTATTTTAACCAATGATATAAGATAAGGTTTTAGACCTATACTCTTTAATTCTGAGATAGTTGAGTCCTAAACATATATGGTTTAATGTTAGATTGCAACTTTGGATGTAATTTAAGGCTTTGGTCTGAAAAATTTCTCATTAGCAGTTGAAGGAACATTATCAACATAAGAAGAGTCTAAATACGGAAGCAGTGGTTATAGAAGGGAGAAAAATCCCATTATATGGTGCAGGAGCAAGCCTAGAGGCAACGGAGAGAGGCGGAAAGATTCCGGTAAATACGAGATTTGAAGTCCGAACAAGAGGAGATGTGGTCGGAAGATTAGTTAGCATATGGCATACAAAGAGAATCTCGTGCTCATTTGTCATCGATGTTGCCGTTAATAGACGCGTATCGACCGATAAGAGTGATTGCAGCTATTCATGATCAATGTTATGCTCATTTGTTATCGAGTGATGTGTTAGATGTTAAAATAAATGTTATATGTGGTCAAATAAAAAGTCAATTTTTTTTAAAAAAATTATATCTTTATTTACTTTTGTAGTAACGATCTGAAGGCTTCTTGAAGACATTGCAAGAAAGTTCAAATTGAATGTAATTTTCCTATACAAAAGGCCAAATGAGTTTAGTAAACCTTCTCTTATGTCTATGTTTCTGCTTATGTTTGTTTATATCAAATGAGAACCTCGCAATGTAGGAATTTTCTTCAGGACTTGTGCATGGAACTATGTCACCTTACTGAGTATCAAAACTACATTCTCTTCAATGTTATTGGTGGGGTAATAATAACATTCTGGCTAAGCTAAACAGTGTTTATACAGATCTGTAGCAAAATGGAAGTGTAGTGACTGTGGTTGGCAGGGCTTTTGATGAACTGGTCTTGAAGAGCCACGAGAATGTTATTCTTGAGGTATTGTAAATGAAACCAAAGCTCTTGTTGATCTAAAAGAAAGGATGTAACATTGAGTTTTATCATGATGGAAACAGGTGGTGCACACACCATGGTGGACTCTTAACTGTGAGGCTATGAGCAAACAGATTGAGAAATTGTCCAAACACTTCAAAGGGTTTGAGAAACTTGTCTTCGGGAAAAAAAAAAAAAAAAACTTGTCTTTGGGAGGATAGACACTTGTGCAAACGAGCATCCTAAGCTAAAGGTAATAAAACAAATCTCAAAATGTGATTATTACTTGAAATATATAATATATGATCATGATGGTATATTATGTGATAGTTGATGCAGGAGGGTGTTGATGATTATCTAACAATCTTGCTTTACAAAACCGGTGAAAAGGAAAATCCGGTGAGATAGGGTTCACATCTTATTTGTTTCTTCATTTCCACGAAGGTTTGGACTCACACTGTTGTGTTGTGCGTTATCGGCTAAATCTAGTGCTTAAAGAGATGGCTGTTTTTATCAATGAAGAGTTGAAGTCAAAGGATAGGTCTGCTAAAGATGAGTTATAGATCTGGAATCTGGTTTATCAGTGTTATTTCAGTTATTAGCTACCACAAGAGAAATCAGCAGTAATGTTAACAGCATGCAAAAGGTGTACCACAAACTGAAAAGGCACCAATTGGTTCTTAACATTGTATCGATGCCGATGGTATGAAAGATACAGTTTTTTTTTTTGATAAAAGTATGAAAGATACATTTGCAGAAAGAATAAAGGTTGATTATGCAAACTGTTACACAAGAAAATGCCAAAGAAACAAAAAACTCTCTTATTTTAACGTCGGTTGGCATTGACAAGCCGAGTTAAGTTAAAAACGTTTGATAAGAAAAACTTGTCAATTTCTAAACCAGTCGTAATATTCGGTGAGATCAAAGCTTGTTTAATTAGTTTGGGTGCTATGGAGAAAGGTGCGTGCTGGGAAACATGAGTTCACAGTAGTGGGTTCATAGCTGAGCCCAAGACTGCTCCAGCACTTATATGAAACTAATCAGCAAAGGAAAGACTTGGGAGGTTGTAAAAAATGCAAAATGAAGGATGATCCAGGTTCAAAACATTAAACAAAAACATAGTTTGTATTCAGGAAATAGCAAAATCTCAAACTAGATAGAGCGAAGAAAAGTGCTAAGCTTTAAGTCCCTCCTGCGTTCAAAATGGGTTTCTTTTAGGTTGATGAAGCAGCTGCCCCCTTGTTTCTTGGTTTAGCTTCAGTACCTAATGGTAACAAATAAAATGTTCTATCATTAGTAACCCCAATTTTTGACTTTAAAAATCAAATGGTATTATTACCTTCTCTGAAACCAGTCTTGAAACGGCGGGGAACATTTTTGAGATATCTCATCCTACCGGTTCCGGTAGTCTTCCTTCTGATTGCCTTCACACTCCAGTTATCTATTACAACACAAAAAGAAGAGACAATTAGAGCTGATAAAGACACATATCCAAACATTTCTCTAAACGGTTATTACAATTATACGAAAAAAATCATGTGAACTAGGTACAACCAAGAACATGTAATCATATGCGATTATTACAACTAAACGACAAGTCAATCTAGTTCTACTACACTCATAAGAGAACAAGAGTATGTTTAATTGCAATACTCGTCAAACGTAATCAAATCCTAACCTCAATGGAACTCATGTGACTGACTAAAGCAAACACTAAACAATAAGAACAAAGCTAATCAGCAATCAATAAACCACATAGATCGGGAAGGAAATGAAACGGTGAGAATAGAAAAAAATGAAGAAAAGACTAACAGGTCCTCTTGCGAGCGGCGGGGTAAGCGCAGGCAGAGCAGCGACTCTTCTGGATGTGGAAACTACGACGACCACATCTCACACATAGTGTGTGACTCTTGTTCCTCCTCTTTCCGAAACTTCCTGTTCCCTTTGTCTGCAATACTCAACCAAAACAACCAAACATCAGATAATGTTTATCGACCAGTAAATACGAGAGAGAACGTGTGGATAGGAAGATCACCATTGTAGAGAGACCAAAAACCTAAGGATGATGATTCTTCGGCTTCAGAGGAGGAAGAAGAAACGGAACTTATATGACGGCCAACTTATATGGTGTGACTCCTTACTCTAGGGTTCAAGTGATATCATGGGCCTTTATGTTTATAAATGGGCTTTAATTTCTGCTATAGCGGAAATGGGATTAAATTTGTATTTTAACGGAAACGGGCCTTATTCCAATCGTCATTTCTTTTGCCCACTATCAGATTCTGTTTTTGCAAAGTGTTTTTGTAGAGAAATATTGTTTTCTTTCGTTTCATTTTGCATCTAGATCACAGTCATTCATAAGTCAAATCATGTGGTTGAGGATCTGTCACTGACGGTTCTTCTCATGGTTAAAGATGAAAAAATGCAACAAATGAAGTTGAGTTTAGGGTTGGATTCCATATATCTTTTTTTTCCAAGTAATAGCATTCAAAACCTATGCTGAGTTACATAGTAGACTTTGCTGCATGTGAGAAATGCATTGTACACTACACTTTAGTTAATTGGTTGCTTATGGCTTAATTTTTTACTTGCTAAATAAGTAACCAACAAGCTTATAACAATCTGCTAGGTCTAGACACAATGAAAAGAATGTTAGAAACAGAATCTCTTCTCTCTGCGAAGAAGGTCAGAAAAAGTATGAGGACGGACTCCAACTTTGGTTTGCCACACGGCAATCAATACCTTGAGGATCATGAAAGCTAAGTGTGATGTTATTTTCCTAAAACAGTAGGTTTTGATTTTGTCAGTAAAATCTGAACCATGAAATATTGTACAAAACGTTTTTTTGTTTGTTTTTGAATTAATTTAACATTCATTTACCAAAAAAAAAGACACAATGAAAAGGCTTCTGCGTGGTGGTAACTCTACCGAAGCAAGTAAAGGCGAGAATGATCCACATCAAGTAGTTGCAAATATCGTTTGCACAACCTTGTGAATGTCTCTTACAAATTTATGTAATTTCCAAACTTCATTGGTTGTCCTTTACAGTTTCAACAGACCTAATTTGTTTCTTCTATGTATTAGCAAATAAGCCTACTTGCATGATTGATTACCAAAAAGAAAAGCCTATTTGCATCGAAACTTATGTTGCTCATTAAGAAGTTTAAAAGTAGTTGCCCCAAAATCATGGATTAACGTTTGTATGTAGGTCCAAAGACAGAATAAGAACCGCTTTACCTTTGCATCTTGAGGAATCCTATAACCAATGCTTTAGACAACAGTTAGTCAAACAATAATAGTACGTAGTACTTCAAAGACAAAACATATATATACTTCTTTGCTTTTTTTATTGAAATCGTACCAAATAATTGATATTTAACCAATATAAAGTTATATCATCCTACTATAATGAAATGAATAAAGTACATGCAGAATTTGAAAATCGTGCATCCATCACTGTTAACCTTAATTTTAAGATCTTCAAATCATCAAAAAGACATAAACACGGGAAAAAGTGAAAGGTGACATTACCGAACAGAGACAAATTTTCACTTTATCCGTTTTGATGTTGAGTAATAGACACTAAAGATACAATGGCAAATACTATGAAACGAAAGTAACCACCACATATAATATATAGTTTCTATATGTGAGAGAACATAGATCTCCTGACAAGAACATATCACAGTGGAGAGAAATGTTTCAGAAAACAAACAGTTTCTTCCACAGAACACTACACAGTCTCAAGTCGATGATTCTCAGAGCAGGTAAGAAACTCTCTAGACCACAAACTCACTTCTCATGCACATTTTGTAGATCAAATTCTCTCGATAGCAGCGACGATTTCTATGCAAGCTTCCTCAACATTTGGGAGTCTGATCTCGGAAACAGCATTGGAGGAGGAGCTCCATTAAAACTGGAGCAAAAGCCTCAAGAGCATGGACAAGATCACCAAGAGAAGAAAATAGAAGCGTGCTCTTCACGTTCATTAAGAGATTGTGATACAATGGAGAAGAAGATTAAGGAGATGTATGTGATCGAGACAGGAGATATAGAGCAAGCCCTTGATGTTGAAGAGGCACTTCATTACTATTCTCGTCTTCGAAGTCCTGTGTATCTCAACATTGTTGACAAGTTCTTAAATGATCTTTACGCCTGAGATAAACACTCTTGAGCTATTATAGTTTGTGTTTTTCTTTTCTTTTCAGATTCTTGATTTGTTTTGGTTTACTACAAGTCTTTGTTCTTGTATGTTTGAATCATGTTTGTGTAGCAATATCATTTGACAGTGAACTTTAAAGCTCTCTTCTGGCAAAAGATCTCGAACCTGTTTTGTGAAACGATGCACATACTGCATGAAGCTTTCAATACTTTTTAGAGTTATAACTTCCCATAGCTCGATCTGCAACTTTTCAACTGGACTAGAATAGGGTAACATAATATTGTAAATAGTAGAAGGCAAGCTCATTAATAGCACAATAGTAGATATTATTACATAGGTATTTCATCTTCTGCAACAAATCCATTACAAGCATCTGATAGAATGCAAAAAGCAGCAGCAAGAACAGAATGCATATCTTTTACATATCAGAAACTCTGTGATCATCCATAACTCTTCCCTGTAAAGCTCTCAGAAGGCGGTAAATAGATAAACTTCTGATCTTTAGTCCAAGCCAGTATGAGGCCACAAGTGCAAAACCCAAGATGAGGTCGATGAAAGGGCCATTATTTACTTGAAGAGGAGGGTCAGTAGCCAGTGGTAGATACCAATACATTGTGCTCCCTAAGGCGTTTCTGGAAATGAGCAAGACGGTTCTGAAGCTGGAGTATACCTGCAGCCTTCTGAGAGAGGATTGTGTTCAGTCTTGAAATGTAACCATCTAGCTGGTTTCCCGGCTGGTCTGCTTCAACCAGCAAATTCATCTCCTACGCATGTGATTTAAACAGGATTATAGAGGCATTAAATCGAAACCAGGCTTGGCAAAAACTGACAAAACTCATACCTCTTTCACGATGTTCATGGTATCCTCAACTTGTTTACGGTGAGCATTCACAAGGTCTTCTTCTTCCTGTTTAAAAAATGCATGAGAGATGAATTCTTGCGTTAAAGCTGATAAATGCGTTTGGCTGAATGTTACCTGCAGAAGTGCATTTAGATTGTCATCGGAGTTTGACTTCTTCATATCGGGCCTTGGCATGTCTCTTGACTTCATGGGAATACTAGGTTTCGGGATTCTCTCCTGTGCCATACTGTTATAGGATGGCTCTGGCTTTACGTTTTTCTTCCACATTTGTTTCTCTTGCTCGTAGTCCGATGCATCAAAGTCATCGTTTTCTTCAGTCCACATCTCATTCACGTCATCATCATAGTTAGATGGAGCAGGGAGTGCGGAAGACAGAGGAATTTTTGTGGACTCCCTTAGGTTCATGGTTGAAGACGATACATCTTTCTTAGAACCGTTTCCCTTCGAGAGACTCTTAACCCTACAATCATAGTTCACAGAAACAGTTTATGGATGCGGATATGAACAAAAACGAGAGAGATATTACAGCGAGCGAGTAAAACCGACCTGTCCGCGTATCTTAAGGTGTTAAGGGTGTGCTCGCATGATCCAGAGCTTGGAGATATGCAAGATATCATTACAGTTCGAGAATTTCCCATGAAGGAGTCTCTGAGAACTTCAGTCAACTTACTGCCTCTAAAAGGGATGTGGCCTTGATCATTATCCAGAGCTCTAATACACTCCTTCAAGGCGAGTAAGCTCTTATTGATTTCTGCTCCTTCCAACCTGTGTTATATGATAATACCAATAAATATCGAAGCAACTAGCCAGAAACGATATTCACAGTAACTATTTAAAAAAGTAGTCAGGGCCCAGAATATAGATGTTACCGAGTCTGTTTGTCATTGTCTGTTGTGTCTGCACCACGTTCACTTCCAGCAAGATCGATGAAAGAAAGTTTCCCAACAAGGCGAGGGGGCTTTGACTGATTTCCCTCTGCTGATTTTTTAATAGCGAGCTGAAGTATAGCATGTGAACGGGAGGATTCTTCATTTGCACCAGTGGTTCCAGTACTTCTTGTTGCACTTCCTCTTTCGATAAGCTCCATTATCGCATCTGTATCAGATACTCTGTATTCTTGCAGACCAACGATGCACACTTGCTGCTTACCATCCTCTCTCATGCACAGCTTCCTATAATGATAAAAAGGTTAGTCTTTCAGCTTAATAAATAGGTATTGAAGTGAAGAAATTAATAGCATTATATGCTTTTCAACTCACTTCCTCTCACTGAGGAGATCATAAAGCTTTCCTCCATAAATTTCAAAGAAGCTGACAAACAACTGAAACCCTTGGTTTCTGTATGTGTGGTGCATCAATCTTAGGATATCCCTTGAAGCCTTAAGAGGCAAAGGCTTCATAGTATAGGTTTTACCACTACCTGAGAGGCAAACATAAAACAACGTCAGTGCAGAGTATTATTTGTTTCTGATATGTGGATGTTGATTATCATCTACGGGATTCATACAATTTTAGAAATAGTTGAAGACGCTATACTCATACACCGTTTGATAATGGGTTAAACATATGCCAGATACTTTAGACGTTAGGATCTAAGGTCTTGCTATTAGCTTGTCAGATTTTTCGGAAAGTGACCTCGTGTATCTATGATTCTTTTGAGAAGTATTTACCTGTCTGCCCATATGCGAAGCAAGTGGCTTTAATACGCTGAAAAATTAAGGGAACAACAGGCTCCACTGTCTCACGATAAACCTACAAAAAGTGGCATAATAACTTAGAAATAAGGGCCACTACGGCAACTGATTATTTGTAAGTAAACGTTGATCCTGTGTACTTTCAAATAGCAGTCACCTCATCATTTGACACTTCCTCATCAAGCACGGCATCAAACACAAATTCATGCTTTTCAACATAGGCTGTCAAGTCAACCTGCAATAATTGAGTTATCGATCAGCCTAACTATCATGCTACAGAGTTTACTTTACTCAGACATGAGACAACTGAGGTTGCACAAACACAAACCTTAAGTTTGGTTTCATGAACTGTTAAGCAATTGGAATGTGTGTCAACAATGTCTTCCTCGTTTTTGGCCGACTCCTTTTTGTTAAGTGGTCTCTTACGCACCTGTTCTCAAACAATCAAGGAACATCATGTGGAGGAAGGGATTAGTATTCACAATGCAAAAATCATCAAAATTTATTAACTCAAGGGTTAAAATCAAGTGATCTTTAGAGACAGAAGTGAAAGAAGAAAAACGTACAACAACTTTGATCTTAGCAACAGCATTCAACCTATCCTTCTCAGCAGCCAAGTTATCAGCCAAAACGCGACTACTACGGTTAGGCTGCTTGTTGTAAGCCTCAAAGTCCTCAAAGCTTTGACTTCGACTAGGATTGAACATTGAAGGACCATCTAACTGGCTAGAAACCGGAATCTGCTGACGAGATAACAAGTTAAAAGCCAACAACAAGACCATAAACGGCAAACAAAATAAAATCCACACATTTATCTAATATCAAACATAGAATCAAATAACCAGATGGTCTCATATCGTAGGAATCTATCACAGATTTGGTCAAAGAAAAAAAAATCATTAATTTTTTGTGTTTAACTAAAAATAGTCTAATGAACTAAAAGAGCTGAGTTAGGAGTCCACTCTATCAGTAAGCAATAAAAAGTTTATAGATAGCCACGTGTATTAATTAAACCGGAAATCGTCCCGGTTCTAACTACCTCGGGGAGAAGCTCAGTATCAAAAGAATGTAGATCTAATAGTCCGGGACTAAACTCGGATTCATCATTGTTCTTTCTTTGACTCGAAGGACGAGAACCACCGTACTGAGGAGTAGTTGGTTCACCAATGTGATAACCTCTTGTTGTTGCTGCTTGTCCACCACCAGCATAGTTAGAGATGGCAATTGGGCTTTCCCGTCCCGTTCCGTCCCGTACCGCAGCGGGCTCATCGTCGAGCGGGTCATGGCGGGCCTGTCCCGTGCGGGCTGCGGTCTTCCGAATGGCTACCCAATCCCGTACCGCATAATTTATAAGCCTTCGCGGGCCGTCCCGCGGGATGTCTCATTCAGCTTCCTTCATGAATGTTAAAGTAGAAGAGTTGTGTAAAGAAGTTGAAGAGAGATGAACAACATCGATCGCAATAACATCCAATGTGATCACTCGCTGGTTTAATGGTCTTGAAGTAAGTGAGAGTCATTTGGACAGTAAAATTTAACTCTTTCAAAAATATTCCTTGTTTGATTCTTTGTAAAGCAACGTCTTTTCATAACAACAATAACTTAATACTAATGGTTTCTTCTTCTCTTTCAACCAAGCTGTTGAACTTAGAGTGTAAAGACAAGATTCTGCAGTAACCCAAACTCTCATTTCGAGCCGTTTAAAGAACAAACAGTAGCTCTTCAACAAGCAGTAACTCTTTAATAACATCATTGTAACAAAATTTAATTTTTTTTTAAAACACCACTTGGCAATACTGAAAACAAAACTCATCAACTTAAACAAGAAAATTCCACATAATAATAAGGCAATTTATAGTACTGAAAAGAAAACCAAACAGAAAGGGAGACTTATGGTTGCGGGTCTTCAAAATCCCGCGGGTTAACCTGTCCCGCAATCGGCCCGTCCCGTTTTGAGCCCGTCCCGCATTCGGCCCGTCCCATTTTGAGCATGTCCCGCGAGGCCCGCAATTTTGCGGGCTTATCAAATGTAGGCCCAATCCCGCCCCGCAGCAAGCCTTTACGGGCCAGGCCCGCGGTCCAGGTCTTTGATTGCCATCCCTAAGCATAGTATCCGTAATCCTGTGTGTTAGTTAGTCACTCACACCATTAGGTTAATCAAAACACCAGATCGTGATTTTTTTTTAAATAATATAAATTCGCATTTTATAAATCGGATGGAGAAGAAAAGGATCAGATGGTGGAGATTTACATTGAGGCCAGAGGATTGGAGCCATCTGTTATTGGAGGAAGACATGTCGAGGAGGTTATCGGAGAGTTGTCTCTGGTGGTGTACCGTCGATGCTGCGCTAGATCTCTGTCTCCCGTTCATCGCTGTGAATCGAATCGAAGCTTGAAATCGGAGCTCCAAACGGATCTTTTATTCGAATCTCTCCGTCGTCTCCTTCTGGCTATCTTCTATCTTAAACCTTTTATGTCTCTCTCTCCACACAAAGTTTTAAGTTCAAATTAAAGCGCAGAGGAGCTGTTTCTTCCTCTCTCTCTCTCTCTTTGAAACGCTCTTTTAAATGTCGTTTCATCTAAATTGAGTTAAT